ATGAATATAACAATAAATGAATTTAAATAAATATGTGTACGAATTAATATTTGTAAGTTGAAGTGTAGGAAGAAAAGTATTTGTCACGTTATTTCGTGAACAAGAATGAATGGCTACTCACAAAGACTTGAATGAATATAACAATAAATGAATTTAAATAAATATGTGTACGAATTAACATTTATAAGTTAAAAGAAGAATGGTCACGAGGATGTGATCCGAATCATCCTTTTCGAATGGCGAAAAAAAAAAATGCGTTTGGAATGAGGACGCAGAATGAAAGGGAAATAAAGACGGTGGAAATTTATTTATTTATTTTTTTATTTACCTTCACGGATGGAACATTTATTCAAACGTCGTACCGCCAATATCCATTTCTATCGAAATCACTGTTGGAATAAGCTATTTCGAAAATTGAACGACCGTCGTGGCGACAATCGATTGGACGATTCTAGCACGGAAGGCTATCGAAATCGTTGGAAAGACGGCACTGTTCGAAATCGACGATGGATAGAATTGTTCGCACGGTTAAATGGTGAATCGCAGTTGGCATTAAATCTTGACGAGAACTTGTCCTTACCGAAAGGTGGATTCGGACGAGAGGGCAAAAACCGACTCGTGTCGGCGAAATTCGATTTCCTTGTCACGTCGTCTCGCTCTGATAGCATTGCAACTTTGGAACACGATTGATAAAATCGTGTACAATCGAACAGCTACGAGTGTCAAATCTACGAAACTGTATAATGTTACTATACTATACATTACTACTATATACTTACTATATATATATACATTTATACTATATATATACATTACTGTATACATATATTATATTATACATACTATATATACATTACTATATATATACATTACTATATACATTTTTACTATACATTACTATACACACGTTAAACTTTCTCTTAAAACTTGTCTTCAATTAAAACTTCAATTCATTTTCTCCAATTAATCCCTATTATCTGTAATAGTATAATAAAAAGTTATTTTATTGTATCTTTGGAGAGGAGACGAACGAATTCTTTCTGAATTCTGAATTCTTAATCACTTTCTATAAATGTATCAACGTGCTTAATTTCAATTGTTCTCTCTAGTTCTCTTTTCTTCTCCTCCTCCTAAAATTAGCAAGATTTCAATTAACGAACAATGTTCTCGTTATTAGTTCTCGAGGCGAATCAATCAGAAAGATGCTCGGGCCCCGCAATCGAGGGGAGAGAGCGTAATCGTTGCGCGAATTGCGACTAGGTGAAAATTTGCATTTTAATTGGAAAGTTCCCGTATCGGCAATTCGATATTCGACCGCCAACTACGTCCACCAATATCCTCCGCATAGTTTCTCTCCGCCAACTTCCTCATTGCTCCTCCTCTCTCTCTCTCCCTGCGGATAACCTTGAACCGGCGATCTCCGCCTCGAGTCGAAATCTAATGAAAACGAGCGATAAGCTTTGAGTAATTACCAGGTAAGGGTGATAAGGTAACATTGTTAGGATAAGTATACTAAAAGTAATCGCATCTCCCTCTCTCTCTCTCTCTTTGTGTTGTGCTTTATAATTGGACCAGCGGAGTTTCGATATTGCTTATTTGCCGATCCCGAGGAATCGAGAGGATGAGAGAGGGTTCACGTTTAAATGATTGCCTCACGTATCGAAAGGTAATTTTCGAGTTTGAAGAAGAAGAGGAATTAAATTATTATTATTCTTTTTTTAAATTTCAATCTCGTATTCTAAACGTTTGAAATATCGTATCCGATATTCTTCTCACGATTTTCTTTTTATTTTGGGAGGAGTATGTATAGAAGATAAACAAGGCGAAAGATAAACAAATTTAATAAGAGAATCCTGTGCCTTATGTATCAAAAGATAATTTTCGAGTTTGAAAAGGAAGAGAAAAAATTTAAATTATTATTATTCTTTTTTAAATTTCAATCTCGAATTCTAAATGTTTGAAATATCCGACACCCTTCTTACGATTTTCTTCTTTTTTTAGGAGCAAGTGTGTATATGCGAAATATAAACAAATTTAATAAGAGAGTCCTGTATCAAAAGATAATTTTCGAGTTTGAAGAGGAAGAGAAAAAATTTAAATTATTATTATTCTTTTTTAAATTTTTCTCGTATTATAAATGTTTGAAATATCCGACACCCTTCTTACGATTTTCTTCTTTTTTTAGGAGCAAGTGTGTATATAAACAAATTTAATAAGAGAATCCTGTGCCTTATATATCGAAAGATAATTTTCGAGTTTGAAGAGGAAAAGGAATTAAATTATTATTATTCTTTTTTAAATTTTAATCCTGTATTATAAACATTTGAAATATCGTATCCGACTCTTCTCACGATTTTCTTTTTATTTTGGGAGAAGCAAATGTGTATATAAGATAAAGGCGAAAGATAATCAAATTTAATAAGAGAGTTCTATGTCTTATATCGAAAGATAATTTTCGAGTTTGAAGAGGAAGAGGAATTAAATTATTATTATTCTTTTTTAAATTTTAATCTCTTCTAAATGTTTGAATATTCGACACCCTCATGATTTTCTTTTTATTTTGAGAGGAGCAAGTGTGTATATGCTAAAGGTAAACAAATTTAATAAGAGAGTCCTGTGCCTTATGTATCGAAAGGTAATTTTCGAGTTTGAAGAGGAAGAGGAATTAAATTATTATTATTCTTTTTTAAATTTTAATCTCTTTTAAATGTTTGAATATTCGACACCCTCATGATTTTCTTTTTATTTTGAGAGGAGCAAGTGTGTATATGCTAAAGGTAAACAAATTTAATAAGAAAATCCTGTGCCTTACGTATCGAAAGATAATTTTCGAGTTTGAAAAGGAAGAGGAAAAATTTCGACACCCTTCTCACGATTTTCTTCTTATTTTGTGAGGAGCGAGCGTGTATATGCTAAAGGTAAACAAATTTAATAAGAGACTCCTGTGCCGTTTTATACTTTGTACTCTGTTGCTACGAAATTACTGTTATGCACGTGTCCCTAATATGCGGCTTTAACGCGAGAGCAGCTCGTAACATTAAATTCCCTCCCCGGATCTCTCTCGGTGTTTTTGTAAGTTTATGACGCGTTAATTGTAACGCCAAGAGATGCAAGACGAGCCTGCCTTTCCTAACTTTCTAATTAGAATTCGGGATTCCCTTTCCCTCCGCGAAATAATTGGGGTGAGCAGTTTTTGTGGCGATAAAACGAGGAAAAGGAAACTTTGTATGAAAAGTGTGACGAAAGTTCACACTGACGGCAATCTTGTCATTTGGACAAGATTTTAATATCACATTCGTAAGAAGATTTAATTCAATCCTGAATCAAATTGAAACTTTTAATTCGAATATCTCTTACACGAGATAAAAAAAAAAAAAAAAAAAAAAAGAAGAAAAGAAGGAAACGCGTGAAAGAGATCCACTATTTTTTTTTTAATATCGATCGATAACAAAGGTTAAATAAATAAATGAGGTTTTAGATAAATTTTAATTTTGTTTATAATTCTGATAAAACGATTATTGCAATTGAAATTGTGTATATTAATTTTACACGGTATATATGAATGAACGTTATACGTTTCATTATTATTATAGGAAATATAATGAACGGAAGTGAGGAGTGGTAAGTAAATTCTACTTGCTCGGAGTAAGTAGTAACAGAAGCGTATAGTCGGACACTGAAAATATAATACTTAAAAATTGACGAGCATCTTCCACGATATTTATATTCATCACAATTAACAATTTATTGCAATTATTCGCATATATAATGTTAATGTAAATACATTTACAATCATCGTATAAATATCAGAAAAATAATTCACATCAGAGTTCTCCCCTCTTTTTTTTCTCTTTAAAACGAAAACATCGTATCTCACCGAAAAACGAAGCTTAAACTTCTCTCTCTCTCTCTCTCTCTCTGACTCTATCTCTCGAGAACTCTTTAACTGCCTTATTGTGGCAATTTCTAGAGCAATAGCGTCCGCGAGAGTTTATCTTGGAAGCTTCTCGTAAAACGTTGGCCGTGCTCGCGAGGAGGGGAAGAAGCGTAAAGGATCGCTTTATGCCCGGCAATAAGAAACTTCGTCCCAAGATTAACCCATCCCAACGGCGTTCTCGAATTAAAACGCCTGATCTTTATGAAATTTTCACCGCGCGAACCGCGACAATTTCGTCGAAAGAATTCGTTGAAAACGATAAGGCGAAAAGTTTTTGCACGTAGAGCGTGAGAAAATTTGACGAGGAACACGACAACATGCCTCCTTTCACGTGTTTATTCTTTCGTACAGTTAAAACTGTAATAAATTTCTTCTTAATAATCGTAAAATGTTGACGATCGAAACTCAGTTGATTTTGGACGAATCCATTTTTGGATTTTTTCGTGGATGTTATTTTTAATTTTAAAATTGATAATTTGTTGGAACGTTGATGATCGAAGCTCAGTTGATTTTGGACGAATCCATTTTTGGATTTTTTCGTGGATGTTTTAATTTTAAAATTGATAATTTGTTGGAACGTTGATGAAACTCAATTGATTTTGGATGGATCCATTTTTGGATTTTTTCGTGGATGTTTTAATTTTAAAATTGATAATTTGTTGGAACGTTGATGATCGAAGCTCAGTTGATTTTGGACGAATCCATTTTTGGATTTTTTCGTGGATGTTACTTTTAATTTTTAAATTGATAATTTGTTGGAACGTTGATGATCGAAGCTCAGTTGATTTTGGACGAATCCATTTTTGGATTTTTTCGTGGATGTTACTTTTAATTTTAAAATTGATAATTTATTGGAACGTTGATAATCGAAGCTCAGTTGATTTTGAACACGTGATGGATCTATTTTTGGAATTTTTCGTGGATGTTACTTTTAATTTTAAAATTTATAATTTGTTGGAACATTGATGATCGAAGTTCAATTGATTTTTGACGGATCCATTTTTGGATTTTTTTATAGATGTTATTTTTAATTTTTAAAGTTGGTAATTTGTTTGTATTTCAGGCTTTCTTAAAACAGGCCCGAAGGGAAGCGCGCAAGGAAATTACGGGTTGATGGATCTAGTGGCAGGGCTTCACTGGTTACACGAGAATCTTGGCGCTTTTGGCGGTGACCCCGACCGGCTGACGCTCTTTGGCTACGGCACAGGAGCGGCGCTTGCCAATTTTTTAGCCGTCTCGCCCATGGTGAAAGGTAACACACGACCCTTTATATAAACTTTCAACTTCAAGTCGTGTAAAACACCGTATTGCGCACAGATACTATACTAAACCGATACGATAAGAATATCTTTCGCGGAACAACTACTGTTGGAAAGAAGGGAGAAACGCGGGTCTGATTGGAAAGGAAACGCCTATTTTTACATTTTTTGTTTCTATCATATCATATTTGTCATGTGTACTATGCAAAATCTTTATAGAATCCAGAGTATCCTAACGTATCGATATAATATAAAAATTTTTTTATTTCATGGCTAACAAGACTAATTACATTTATAATACGATAATATAATTTATAAATTTCGTATTCGAGTAGTAGAGATAATAATAAGATATGCTATGGATAGTTTCGAAAAATATCTCCAGTCTCAGACGATTATCCTAACGCAACTTATAGATAGATGAGAATAATTTTTACGATTTTGAATATATTCCAAATTGCTGCTGTTCTACATTGCGAATAAAGCGGTCCTATAGGCTTGGAAGGACCCTTGTTGCCCGCCGACACTTCTTTCCAACAGCGAACGCCACTTTCACCTCCTCGATGACAACAGTGTTTCGATGTTTCGTCGCAGGGGTGTCAGGATATTCTTCTCGCGTGGGAGGGAGAGGGTAGAGTCGAGGGGATATTCTTCGGTGTCATCGCCGGCTTCGTTGTCGACGACGGCCACTAGAGACTTTAACAAGCTTCCTCGAGTGTAGCCTTCCTCGCGAGTAAGGAGAATAAGGGTAACAGAGTCGCGTGAACATGGTCGCGTTTCTAAATTGCGCCTCCGTTCCGCTAACGAACCCACCTTCGCCTCGTCCTTAATGCCCTTCCACAATGCGTTCTACCCTTCGCCGCGAGCGCTCCTCGCGAGACGAATCGATGATTCGTGGACCGCGTTCAACCAACCGGTTGTCGTCGTGCGTTCTAAAATTTGAGAAATATCGAAATCGGATGAAATGATGTTGTAAAATTCACAAAAAAAGCGAAGATTATAAAAATCTAAACGACGAATCATCGTATTCTAAAATTTATAAACTATCGAAATCGAACGTGAACGATGGATTCAGTAAAATTAAAAAAAAAGGTAAACTCAAAGATTCTAAAAATCTAAACGACGAATCATCGTATTGTAAAATTTATAAACTATCGAAATCGAACGTGAACGATGGATTCAGTAAAATTAAAAAAAAAGGTGAACTCAAAGATTCTAAAAATCTAAACGACGAATCATCTAAAATTTAAAAACTATCGAAATCGAACGTGAACGATTGATTCAGTAAAATTCAGAAAAAGAAGGCGAACTCAAAGATTCTAAAAATCTAAACGACGAATCATCGTATTCTAAAATTTATAAACTATCGAAATCGAACGTGAACGATGGATTCAGTAAAATTAAAAAAAAAGGTAAACTCAAAGATTCTAAAAATCTAAACGACGAATCATCTAAAATTTAAAAACTATCGAAATCGAACGTGAACGATGGATTCAGTAAAATTAAAAAAAAAGGCGAACTCAAAGATTCTAAAAATGGAAAAAAATCGAAATCGAAGGTAAAAGCGACGAGTCATCGTATTCTAAAATTTATAAAGTATCGAAATCGAATTCGAACGATAGACGATACTTGCCATTCTCTAAAATTAAAAAAAAAAAAAAAAAGAGGCGAACTCGAGGATTCTAAAAATGAAAAAAAAAAAAAGAAATGGAAATCGAAGGTGTGAACGAGTATGATCCATATCGTGGATCACCTCTCGAAAATTAAAAATTCGATATGTTCGATCGTAGAGAGAAAGAGAAAGAGAGAGAGAGAGAGAGAGAGAGAGAGAGAGAGAGAGAGAGAGAGTGGTGGGTACGGTTGAAATCGAGGCACGTGTTTTATTTTATCGCAGAGTTGGTCGAGAGAGTGGTATTACTGGGCGGTTCCGCCCTGTCACCCTGGGCCATACAGCGTGATCCGTTAACGGTGAAACATCGCGTCGCCCAACAGACGGGATGCCCTGGTAACGTCGAGGCTGACGATATCGCGCCGTGCCTTCGTTTGCGAACATTGGAGGAGCTTCTCGCCGTGCATTTGGACCCGCCGAGATTCACCTCTGGATTTGCTCCTTTCGTCGATGGGGCGGTCATGCCTCCGCCGATCAATCAGGTATCTCCCCCTCGTTCCTAGAAAAGAAAAACTTTTTCCTCCCTCTTTCTACGCGCAAGCGGAACCTTATCCTCTTTTACCTCGAGGAATTAATACAACTGGTCGAGGAGTTGTGATCCAATAGGATATATATATTTTTCTCTTTACGAGAAGGATGTGTCGTGAGGGATGAAACTTATCTACTCCTTATTTCCGCTTGCTTTATCTTATCGTTGTATTATTGTGTTCCTACTATCGGGATGAATCTGAGCAGAAGAGACAGTTTATTGCGAGCAATATCTTTCCGAAGGTAAATACGTCGAAATAAATACGACGTTGAAATGTAATCTTCTTACGAAAGAACTTACAAGCGCAATATAATAATATCGAGGAATTTGAGGGTATTTGGAAAAATTACGTATTAATAACGAATCTCGAAAATTTAATTTTAAAATCGCGATTTTTAAATCGAGCCAGGAAAATCTCCATCGATCGAATAATTGCCAATAATTGCTCTCTTCAGAAAGGAAGAGAGAGGGAGAGAAGAGAAAAAAGAAAATGTAAAAAGGAGAATCCGTCGAAAATCGCGAGGCGTGTCGAGTCGTCAGTGGACGAGGAGACGACACGTGTAAGCGATGAGTTTGTTAATTGAACCGACAACCGACTGACAGATGTCGAGCGATGGAACAGCCTCTGGTATTAAGTTCCAACCTCCTCGCGTCTCCTCCGTTAATCGATCCTTTCCTTTCTTTTCCCTTTCTCTCTCTCTCTCTCTCTCTCCCTCTCCCTTTCCTTTTCGAAAATCGATCGAGAGTGCGTATCGGCAAGATTGCTCGTCGGCCAACTTTTAATTAAAAGCCATAAAGTACACGGTGTAATTGCAATTAACCATCGACTCCGTGCAATCGTACCTCGATCGATAGTTGCCCGCAACTTCCCTTTCGTGGGCGTCGACTTGATTGCGCGCACACACAGAAAGAGAGAGAGAGAGAGAGAGAGAGATAGAGAGAAGGAAGGATTCACCTCGACAACCTTCAACTCTCGAATTTTTCCTGTTTCTGGTTGCGAAGAATTTCCAGCCAACCGCCTCCTCGTCGGGTCTGATGCCCCTCGTTCCCGGCCCGGGAACCGAGTTCGCTAATTTCGGCGATCGAGACCTGATGCTCGGATTGACGTCAGAGGAGGCATGGGTCAACCTCACCGACGAGGATCTACAGGTAAGCTTAAGGAATCTTCCTTCGTTTGTATTGCTGTTTATTCGAAGGTTGCAATGGAAATCGGGTCGATCGGGTTCTCGGATCCATTTCTTTTGAATTACACGGATATTGGATGAAAATGGGGGAGGGGAGGGGATATTTGAATGTTTTCTTTGGGATTGGAAAGTAACGTTTATCACGGAAAAATAATTTAGTGAGAGATACAGGTTAGAAGAAGAGATTACAAGATATATTTTAAATAATAATTTATTTACGTCAGAATTTTAATTAAAACGAATCCCCAAAATCCGACGAAGGAGCTAATTGGATAATAAATTATTCTTTTTTCTCCGGTTTTCAGCTTGTTACATCATGGAGATTTAATTTTTAGAAAATGATACCGGTTTTTATTATGATTTATTATTTCGTTAAAAGTGTATATAACGTAAAAATATGACTAAATATACAAATATTTTTCATTTGAATCCCTAAATATAGCAAAAAAATTGTTATAGCAGGCAATTAACTTAGAAAGTGGTTCGAATTTGACAAACGTACAGTAAACTGGATCTTGAGAATTGGAAATGGTATTCTAAACAGATGTTAAAATGAAAGAATCATTGACAAGTCGAATTATACATCGTGTAAATTTCTAATATGAAGTAATGACTTCATTACTTTAAGTTTGATTTTCGAAAAATTTATCGATAATTTATAATGATTTAAATTAAAGTAGATGTTTTGAGATGTTATCCGTTATAAAACTGAAGCTTAAATACTTCTTAATAAATTTACAGTTATCCAATTAATTGTCTGCCTATATTTTGTTCAAGTATCGTAAATGTTTAAAAAGAGGATTTATATAAGAGTTTTAACATATACTTATTAAACAATTATCATTTATACATATGAAACCGAATTTTCATTCACAGTTAATACACGTATATTCGAACCACTCTCGACAATTGCATTTTCCCATATACACTTTTCCCCAATTTCTCTCATTCTTAAAAAAAAAAATTATAAAAAAATAAAAAAAAATATCCCCTTCACTATCCACGAATACCCCCGAAAACGAGATTCGCTCTCCAAACGAGGGGACGAGCGAATAAAGAAACTAGCCTGAAACGGAAACCGTGGTGATGGTGGTCGCGGATCGTTGAATTTAACTTTTAATTATCGCGCTTAACGAGATGCGAACTCGGTGCGCGCACCAGTCGATAATTGACGCCAACTCGATAAATTACTAATTAGCGGGGGCGGTGGCGAAACGCGGTCACCGATTCGTGGCGGGCGCGATTATCGACGACGGCCACGGTCGATGGACGCTTTGCTGGGGACCGTATTTCCGCGGCTCCTTGACAATTTGATAACGATCGGCCGTTTAGCGGCCGTTGCAGCGACCCATTGTTCACTCGCATACACCATAACGTCCGCAACGCGGCATCATCTCCGTTCGAGTCGTCGCGGCTCGATAATTTCCGGTTCGCCGCCTTTCGTTACGCCGTTCTCGAATTTCAAATTGGAGTTTCGAGATGTCGTGTTCATTCATTCATTCGCGTTTGTGTTGTTTTAGCGTCGAAATACAGGGAGGAGGGGGAGGAAGAAGGGGATCTCGATTAACCGGTCGTACCGCGATTACATCTAGATTCTAGATTATTCTAGATCGTCGAGGTTATGATTATGCGGTGTCTGGTTCTGGTTTATCGAGGATACGAATATATATATATTGGGGAATTAAATTTTGGAACGATTCTCTGTGTAATATACATTCGAATGGATCGAAACTCTTGCACGTCAATTTTATAGTCTTTTTTTCTTTTCGATTTGAGATTGATGGTTGGTTTGGAGAGTCATTACGATTGATGTTATGTAAATTTTTCTACTATGTTCTTTTCTTATTTATTAATTTGTTAATAGTATTTTTTGGGTTACTTTTTGAAATTGATAGTTGTTGGACACTCGTTACGATTGATGTTAGATTAGAATCACAAGTGAATGTTCAAAATGTGAGAAGAGGTTGTAAAATTGAAAGCATTTTGTAATATTCTTTTTTTTCTTTTTTATTATCAATAATACTTTTGGGTTGCAACAAAAATTAACAAATCTTCCATATATTTTTTATGGAAAATAACTCCTGTACCTGTTAGAATAACGCAACAATTTTTATATTTCTCCTCTAACTCCTCTAATCTCTTATTCACTATCACATTAACACATTCTTATTTTTCTTCGCGAAATCTTTCATGATAACCTTATGATACTCACAATTTAAAATATTCCTCCGTTCTCACCAAGATCCTTGGAAAAAAATAAGTCTCCTTCTTCCTCTTTCCTCCCCCCCTTTCAATCCATCAATCGTGATCGAATATGATAACGCAACAATTTCTATATTTCTCCTCTAATCTCTTATTCACTATCACATTTCCACATTTATATTTTTCGAAACTTCGCGAAATCTTTCGATAACCTTACGATACTCACAATTTAAAATACTCCTCCGTTCTCACGAAAATCCTTGGAAAAAAATAAGTCTCTACCTCTCTTCCTTCCTTTCCCTCTCCCTTTCGATCCATCAACCGTGGTCGATCGGACATGATAACGCAACAATTTCTATATTTCTCCTCTAACTCTTCTAATCTCTTATTCACTATCACATTAACACATTCTTATTTTTCTTCGCGAAATCTTTCGTGATAACGTGATTATGATACTCAAAATTCAAAATACTCCTCCGTTCTCACGAGGATCCTTGGAAAAAAATAAGTCTCCTCCTTCCTCCCCCTCTCCCTTTCGATCCATCAACCGAGGTCGATCGGACATGATTGCAGAACGGTCTGAACGAGACGAGGAGGGATCGGATCTTGCGCACGTACGTGCGGAACACGTATCGCTACCACCTTCACGAGATCTACTCGACCCTCCGTAACGAGTACACGGACTGGGAGAGGGGCGAGCAGAGCCCGTTGGCGATCTGCGACGGACTTTTGTCGTTGCTCGGCGACGGCCAGGTCGCGGCACCCCTTCTGAGGTTGGCGCTGCTGCACTCGGCCTCGGGTGGACGCGGCTACTTCCTCCACTTCCAGCTGGGCGAGAGGCCGAGCCAGAGGGGCGAGGAGGTGCCCTACCTCCTCGGCATACCTCTACTCCGGGGAGAGATCGCGTCCATTTTGATCGGCCAGGCCAACTACACCTCGGCCGACGAGAACCTGTCCAAACTGTTGGTCCACTACTTGGCCAACTTCGTGAAACGCGGGTGAGTCCAGCAGATTTCTCTTTTTACCTCTATTATTATTATATATGTTATTATATACATGTATGTGTTACATTTGTCGAGCAGGATAAAGAATGGAAACCGACAACGTTCCGTCGTGATTCGATTCGCGTTGGAAAATAACGGTGTAAGGGGTTGAAAGGGTTTCCTGAGAAATAATGGGAAACGTCATCGGCCTATACTTTTGGGGACCTTTGGGATTAACGCGTTACGTCGTTCGAGAGGTTTTTGTTTCTTTCCTTCCATTTTTCTGTATTGTGTATTCTTCGGGGAGTTTTTGATTTCTACTTGTCTTCTTTAAAGGAGGATCCTTCAAATTTGATCGAAAATTGCGCCTAGCACGATAGAAGGGAAAGTTTGCAAGGTAAAAACGGTGCGATTATCGTTTTTGATTTTTATTTGTCCTCTTTAAAGAAGAATCCTTCAATTTGATCGAAAATTAAAATCGCGCCTAGCACGATAGAAGGGAAACAGTTTTCAAGGTAAAAACGGTGCGATTATCGTTTTTATTTGTCTTCTTTAAAGGAAGATCCTTCAAATTTGATCGAAAATTAAAATTGCTTATCACGATAGAAGGGAAAGTTTTCAAGATAAAAACGTGATTATCGTTTTTGATTTTTATTCGTTTTCTTTAAAGGAGGATCCTTCAAATTTGATCGAAAATTAAAATTGCTTATCACGATAAAAGGGAAAGTTTTCAAGGTAAAAACATGATTATCGTTTTTGATTTTTATTCGTTTTCTTTAAAGGAGGATCCTTCAAATTTAATCGAAAATTAAAATTGCTTATCACGATAGAAGGGAAAGTTTTCAAGGTAAAAACGTGATTATCGTTTTTGATTTTTATTCGTTTTCTTTAAAGGAGGATCTTTTAAATTTGATCGAAAATTAAAATTGCATCTAGCATGACAGAAGGGAAAGTTTTCAAGATAAAAACGATTATCGTTTTTGATTTTTATTCGTTTTCTTTAAAGGAGGATCTTTTAAATTTGATCGAAAATTAAAATCGCGCCTAGCACGACAGAAGGGAAACAGTTTTCAAGGTAAAAAACGATGCGATTATCGTCGAGGAAGATGATTTTATTTGGAATCACGATAATGATTCTAATCAGGATCGGACGAAGGAAGGAGTTAGTGTTCGATCCTCCTTGTCCGATTTCGCCTTTCCGATTGGATTAAATTTTTACGGTGGAAAATCATGAATAACGCATTTAATTGGATCAACAGTCGGGATGATTAGTCTTCGGGCCAGTGCGCAAGGCAATTTCCATGCAAATACAATTTTACCCCCGCTCGGGCATCGACGCGAGCAATTTGAAGTTGGGAATAAAATTTCTGTCCCGTCTCGAAAATCGTATAATCGGAAACTTTCGAGCGTCTGTTGTGTTTCGCCGTTTATTTATTTATTTCTCTTTGTCGAGAGATGAAAGAAAGGAGGGAGTGAAATCTTGGATTAACCACCGATTCCAAACCAAAATTGTAAACTCGTTTCCAAACCAACCTCCTAACGATATTTCTTCACTCCGGGAAGAGAGAAGCCGGAAACTTAAAGTTAAAAGCAAGAAGAAGAAGAAGAAGAAACTTTCCTCTTCTTATCGCGCCTCAACTCCGCAGGAAACTGTCTCGATATCGCGCCTCTCCTCCATCGATTACGCGGATCTCCCACCAGAAAAAACATCAACGTTTTAATTGACATCGAAACTTTAACCTGGTTCGCCCTCTTGAGAACTTTCCAAATTACCCAAAATCTACCCAATCTTTGTTTCGAGAACAAAGACGAACGCTTTATTAACCCCGTTTTCGATTCGATAAATTTTATTTATTATTGAATCTCGCCCAATTCTTATAGGAAAAAAAAAAAAAAAGGAAAAAATTGATTCGATTTGTTTCCAGGAAACGTTAAAAATTTTTAAGGATCTCTTCTGTTCTGGAAGAAGTTAAAATTAGAAGAAAGATCGACTCGAAGTTTGCAGCGATCACCACCGAAGCGTGGCGCCGTTCGCGGAAATATGGGGAAATCGAGGCGGGAATTGGTAGGAATCCGGATAACGAAGTAAATGGCGGTGTAGTCGGCGCGAAGTTGGAAACTTGCAATGAGGGGGAGAGGTGGAGGGGGCTAGTTTCTTGTTACGTGCCGGTGGATTTGCCGAATCGAATATTAGGCAAAGTTAGACGTTCCTCCTGTCCTCGAGTAATGATTATTGGATTAAAGCTAGACGTATAATTTGATATGACGTGTTTCTGGCTTTCGTTGGATTCCGATCTCTCTTGGAATTGGATTCCAAGCGAAATCGATCCCGATTTCCCATTAGAAATTACAATCCTGGGAATATTATTAATCGGATCATTTCGAATCGTAATTTTGGATACCGTTCGATACTTTTTTCCCTCCCCTTTAATTCCATTCCTAAACTATTCCCCTTAAAACTTCAGAAACTCGCGACCAAGATTTACTTCTCGTTCTGCCAAAAAGTTTCCACCTTGCGCCAATTTCTTAACGATCATTAAAATCAATTCAACCGTAATCTAAAATTCCACTTCTCGATTCCAAAGATTGGAACAGTGATTTCAGTAATTAGAGATAATTGCGAGTAGTTTCTCGAGGATTCGTAACCCTTTCGATTTCGTAGTCGATCGTTCCTTTCTCCCTCTCCCCGTAAGAGAGAGGGGGTTGAAAGGACACGCAGGATTATTTTTCATTATTTTTCATCGAGGCAGGGAAAATTTTCGGTCAGAAAATCGCGTAACGCGATTGGGTAGCGATATGGGACACCTGGCTGGCGTTAGGAAGAGAAAGCCGGCCGTCCGGCCAACTCAATTTCGAAACGCAATTTCCGTTCCAGTTTCTCGTTCTTCGTCGCCTGTACGAATGGGACAATGGGAAACCGGGTATCGGTTCCCGGTGAAATAATTAAACGTATAGAGAGAAAGGGAGAGATGATTGTTTCTTTTGGTAGGGATTTTTTTTCACCACAAACAAATTGGCTCGCTTTTTTCGCTGTAGCAACAATTTGAAACTACTTTCTTGCCTTGCCAAACGTAACGAGGTTCTTCGAGATTAGATACGGTTTTATAAATCTCCTCCTTCTTTGTAGACTTTTTGACGGAATTCTCTTTCATTCTCACACATACGTATATAATAGTTTCCTGTTACGATTAATCTGTTATAGAATTTAAAGTTCACTGAAAATTTATATGTGGCTTTATTATTGAATGTTGCCAGCAACATTCATAATTGGTAGCTATTTGTTTTTCTTCGATACTTTATTTCAAATGTTTTGCAAACAGATACGCGCGATCGCGTATAATAATTAAATCTACTCATTCATCTAAACCCGTACATTTTTTATTTATTATTTTCACCGCTACGATCGAATCGAAATTAAACGCTATCCTCGTTACAAAATGTAAGGAAAAGTTGGGGCTCGGCTGCCCGAAAACGCGGCGATCGATCGAACGAGAATTGACGTGTTTCAGAGATCCGAACGGAGCGAGCCCCCTCACGTCGGGATCGGACGGGCTCCCTACCAGCCCTCCGTTCTGGGATTCGTACGACTCGATAAATCAGCTCTACCTGGAGGCCGGTCGCAGCACGGAGATGCGGTCGCATTACAGGGGCCACAAGATGTCCCTGTGGTTGAACCTGTTGCCGCAGCTCCATCGACCGGGCTACGAGATCAGCATGCGTCACCATCACCTCGCCGAAACCGCGACCCTCTACGAAGGCGTGGTGCGCCCCCAGACCTTGGCGCAACCGTTGCCGCCGCCTCCGCTTCCGGTTCCCTCGCCCACCGAGCCATCCTCCATCTCGAGCGTCGTGTCGACCACCGAGTGCACCCCTAACGCGACGGCCGCCACCACCGTGCCCACCACCACCGCCGCCGCCGCCGCCCACGCCCCCAACACCCATCCGAACCTGGGCCCGGGGCCCAACAACATCCTCAAGAAGCTGGCCTCCAATCATTACCAGAATTACACCACCGCCCTCTCCGTCACCATCGGGGTCGGGGTGTTCCTCCTCGTGCTCAACATCATGATATTCGCAGGGATCTACTATCAGAAGGACAGGAACTCGTCGAGGTCGTCGGCCGGCCTCGCCTCGACTTTCGCCAACAAGAAGAAGGAGGAGTTGTTGGAGGCCGGTTGCTCGGGCATCGAGGCCCCCTCTGCCAAGCAGAGGTTGTCCACCTTGAACCTGATGGACTCTCCCTCCTCGAGCCCGCCCCCGCACAAGGCCAAATTAGCTCAGGAGTTGGAGTTGCAGTTGCAGGAGTTCCAGTGCTCGCCGCCTCCCGGCGGGGGCAAGAGGGGGGTGTTGGAGCCACCCCTGTACACGAGGAGCCCCTGCGTGCAGAGGACGAGGACCCCGTCGCCTTGCGTGGACGCGACCACGGCCAGGATGGACGACGACGACGACGACGACGACGAGGACGAGGACGAGGACGAGGAGGAGGACGAGGACGAGGACGAGAACGGGAACGGGGATAACAGCAGCGACGATAACGACGACGAGAATCTTCCTGAACCCCCGCCGCCCCCCAAGGTGCCGGCCCCTAACGTGAATCTCTCCTGTCCAGGTATACTCAGGCAACCTGGCACACCTGGCAGCGCCAAGAAACGCGTTCAGATACAGGAGATTTCCGTCTGAGGATGAGAATTTCTTTCCTTTTTCTTTTCTTTCCCTCTCCTCCTCCTTTCGATCGTTCGATCGTCGAAACGAACGATCCCATCCCACCCCTCCCCCGCTCGATCGTCGCTACTGCTGGCGGTAGTCGATCACATGTGGATCGATCACGAGAAACAGATGATCTGGCCTGGGATGCACGTCTACGATGTGGTTATGCAGAAATACGGAGGTGTTGGCGCGAGTAAGACGGGAAATAAGTGCACAAATCAGATGGCCTTAAAGGGAGAATTCGTGGGAGGAACGAAGGGAGAGGCAACTCTCGTCGGAGTCGGCCAACTCGGTCGAGTTCCTCCGAGTTCCCTCCGAGATTCGAAGACGATGAATATTTTCCAATATTTCTTACCGACCCGAAATAGAAAACGAAAAGAAAAAAAAAAAAGAAAAAAAAATGAAAAACAAAAAAAAAGAAGCGGCGGCAAAAGATTCGAAATGGGAATCTTATCGGGGTGAATGTTCGACCGCGTGAAAATATTTCGTACAGAGTTCGTTTAAAATTAAACGGTCCTCGCTCGTCAAAATTCTTTCGAGGAGAGGAGCGTGTGTTCACCTTATCGAGTAACATCCGTAACATCCTTCCTTGAAGAAGAAGGAAAGAGGAAAGGATGTTCCGAAAAAAAGGATAAAAGTAGTGAAAGTGGAAGTGGCGGGAAAGGGAGAAGGAAGAAGGTAACGGGGAGAGGTGAACAGGGGGTCGTCGCGACGCTCGACGCTACGACGAAACGAGGGGATTGATATAATCTCAGGAACTGAAAAGACAAGGCGCGCGCCGAAGGGAGACCCCGGCAGGATGCCTCGGGCTTCCTTTATCCGGATTTGTCGGAGCACTAAGTGGAATTATTCGAGGAATTGGAGGGCCTGACCTCGACTTTTTGGGTCTCGTGACTTTTTTTCGCGAGACAGAGAGAGAGAGAGAGAGAGTGTATGTATGTATGTATGTGTGTGTGTGTGTGTGTATACGAGAGGAATTGGACAGCTGATCAAGCGAAACTCCGCAGGCCGAGCACGGAGAGGAGCCTGCTGATGCCAGAATCGGTGAATCTGAAGTTCTCGTCGGTATAATCGCGTGTGTTCTTTTAGCTACGAGAGACGAGAGAGAAGAGTGTGCGAGAGAGAAAGACATGGGGAGTGGAACGAGTGAGAGAGGATGCTTGCTAAGAACGATATATCTTTGTGAATCGTACGAGGAAATGTTGGAAATTGTGTGAGGGATCCATCCTGGGTTATTTTTTTCGTTTCCTCGTGGAGGGTGCTTACGGTTCCTGTTCAATTTTCGTGAGTTTGTTGTGACACGTCTGTTGTTATGTATATATACGTATATACGTTTTCGCGTTTGTTTGTTTGTTTGTTTGTTTGTTTGTTTTTGTAATTCTAGTATACGAAAGTGTTTAACGTGTTAAATTGTTCGTTATCGAAGTTCGATGGACAAGTGGACGAGTTAATTTATCGTTGAAAGAGGAATGTCGCGATATTTTTCTGCACGGAATCATAACAATTACGAAGTGAGCGTAGATTTATCAATCTATTTATCTTTACTTTAATTTCCTTCGCAGGTGGATTAACAGGTTACGAAACGGATATCGTCGACTTTGATGATTCGTGTGAACCCCAGTTAGGGATGCAATTTATTTTTCTTTTTTATCGAATTAAATTTTAAATCATCGACATAATTCGTCACACAACGCGGAGTCGGTTCGAATATCTAATTTACTTGAACACGGTGCTCACGATCCTGCGTTAATTAATACGAAACGTAAGAGATTTTCGCGCGAAAATGATATAACGAAATTAATTGGTAGACAAGTGGAATTTCGAATCGGCAATTTTGAGAATGTCGCGAATGTTCTTGTGTTTCGAGTGTGCACCGTATCCTCCCTGTTGACAAATGCCTGTGTTTACGAGCGAGCAACGCTCCTCGCTGTTCCCCATTGCCTCTCGAACAATTAGCCTTGATTACGGTTTCGTTCGAATACCGGAACTAAGTTAGATTTGACAAGAGTTGATAACAAAAACGCTCGTCACCCGCGCGCCTATTTATTCTAAAAACGATTTCTCGATCGTAGCGGATTTCGAGAATCCGTTCAACGATCAAGATTCGTTAATTTTGAAACTATGGAAATCATCTGTGACGATTTAAACGAAAAACGAAGAAATAATTTTTATAATTTTAAAAAACAGTTTTAAATTTAAGTTTTAAATTTAATCCCGATATTAAGTAGTAGATAGGCAGCAATCGATCGGACGTGGAAGTGACGAGGCATTAACTCTTTGCAAATTGTCAAATTAAAATTGAAAGTTGAACGACGACGTGATATCTTTCTTTATCCCTAATGTTTGAATCTTTAATTTGCAATTTAAAATGTGGAATGTATCTTTGGTCGGAATCGTTGCTCGTTTGCAAAGAGTTAATATCAATGAAAAGTGAGTTTCCACGTTTTAACAAAGAATCTCATATTTTTTTTTTTTTTTTTCCTTTTGACGTATTTAAGGAATCTGAAACGATTCCTCTTTCGATTCCATCAACGCACGAATCTTTCTCCCTCGATACGCTACTCCCTTTCGAGATATTCTTCATTTTCCATCCACGAAAAATATATATATATAAGATATGCGACGGAAGTGACGATCGATGCCGGAAACGGGAGACAGATGAGTGGCGACACGTAAAAGGAAAGGCGAGGAAGTTGTAAGAACGAGGGAGAGGAGAACGAAGAAAAGGGGATAGAAAAAGAAGATGGGCCAGCCATGAAATGGGAGGAAACGCCCTTGACAAAATTCGTGCGTCTTTGGAACGATTCTATCGATCCTCGAATCTCGAACGAAAGAGAAGAGAAAGAGAGAAATGTTTCGCGTGTACGAGTATATTTGCGCGTGTGTGCGTGGAAATGCGAAAAATTGCAGGTATGAAGAGAAGAATGAGAGTGAGAGAGAGAGAACGAGAGAGAAAGAAGTTGGAAAGTCCTGTCGTTGAAAACTCTGGTGTCGATTCGTCGACGAATCCTCGATTCCTTGGTCGAAAGATCGGAAATTTCGTTTCTCGAGCGATGAAAGATGAAAGAAAAATCTTTGCCATTTGTTGAAAAATTGACGATCGAGGATTTTTCGATGGATCGACGAGGCAACGACGTCTTCGAGCGTCATTTACATACAGAATTAAACGAAGGCGTGCACACGTATACGCATGTCTAACACGTAACAAGGATGCGAGGGAAACATGGTGGAAACACACACGAGGTACACACGTACACGATTATCAATGTTTGGAATGTTGGGATTTGTTTAAATAAATAATTAAAGCATTTAAAGCGTAAGCGGATTGGTAATTCATGGATTCAGATTCCTCTTCTTTTATGTCTTCTTCCCTCTCATCTTTTTATCCTTTCTTCTTCTTCTTCTTCTTTTTACAAATATTTATCTTTCTACATTTATCTATCTCGTATAATTTGTTTTTGTTTTTTTTTTTTCAAATCGTATTTAGAATTACGCGGATGCTATCTATTTGTTTGTTTGTTTCAACTCTTTCCACGCAAAGATCGTGGCCAATGACTGATCCTTCGTTTCTCGTCGGATTAGGTAAGTGTTAATTTATGTGTTATCTCGTTATAGATCCTCATCGAATAAAAAATCAAATAAAAGTTTCTTTTTAAACAGATTTCTTTTAATATAAAGAAATACATAAGTTCGATAAATTTCCACAAAAATATAAACACTTTTTCGGGAAACGATAGAGAATTCCTCCCGAATCGAACCGCTTCCATCTCTTTAAATTCCACAAGAGTCTCATCTCTAAATTTCACCTCGAGAAAGAAAAGAAAGTAAGGCGAAAAAGTAAGAAGAAAGAAACCGGGGTTGTAAAAACGAGAACAAAAACGGTAACACCAAAATAAATTCCGACTCTTTAGAGCTCAAACAAGCTGTAAGAAACGGCTCGAGAGGAGTGAGGAGATAACAAACGAAATCCAAGGAGAGACAGAGAGAGAGAGAGAAAGAGAAAGAGAGACGCAACTCTTCCTCTCCCACCACCCCTCTTCCCTTGCCCCACCGACGAGGCAACAACCACGATTTTCGATCACGCTGAAACAGTTCCTTCCCTCTCCTTTGGATCACCTTTGCCAGCTGCCACTGAAAACCACTCGAGGAGACACACTCGATGTTTTAGGGTAATGGAAATTCCTCCCCTCCCCTCGCCGCTCCCCCTCACTGGAACGAGCAATCTCGAGGATCGTTCCGTGCCTATATATCGCGCGACTTCTTGCCAAAGTGCCACGAACCTCTCTACGTCTTTAGAGTGGAAGCGTGGCGAGTGTGTGTACGACAGGGGTGGGAAAAGTTGGAGAGAGGGGTCGTTTGATTTTTAACGAAGTTGAGCTCAAACGTCCATCCAAGTGTTTCCTTTCTTTTCTTTTCTTTTTCTTTTTTTGACGAGGAGAGTAGGAGTTGTAATTAATTCGTAGTTTTAGCGGAATTTTTATTTTATTAATTTGGGGGGTCGAAGAATTGTTTCGTTCGTCGGAGAAAGAAGGACTGTTGAAATTGCTTTATGGAAATTCAGTTTGGTAATTTAATTCTGATTACGATACGTGTGTGTGTGCGTGAGAGTATTAAAATCAACTCTTTCCAAATCCTTGCCGCGACGGAGATCCCGCAAGGGGTAGATACGACACCGCTCGAAAGTTTTGGGACAGGCATTACGCTCGAGATCTCGAGGAAATTAGGTAACCGTTAGGATATTACGTTGTTGTACGTAGCGTCGCGACTGGGGCAGATGCCAACCAGTATTTCGGCCAATGCGAAATTGCAGTTCGAATCGTGTACTGTAGCAGGGATAATGATCGATCGTGTTCTCGCTTGCAAACGCACGATTGAACAAGCTTAAACCGAGCGTTTAATCAATTAAGGATAAAAAACGAGAATAAAATGTAAAAGAAAGAGGCAGTTTTCTCGCGCTTCTTCTCTCCCTTTCTCTCGCCACTTCTCCTTGAGCGAGACGCGTCTCCCCTCCTCTCCCACACGGCCACACGGCGTCGGTGGAGGCTCGTATTGACGTCTCGTGGTCTTCCTTGCGGAGGGTCGTCGAAGCTCGAGCTTTAATGGGGTGCTTCCCGCCTCTTGAGGGCCGAGCCAACGAGATCTGCCGCGGGCTCAAGTATAATTAGTCGTGGCATCGTACGGTCCGTGGCGTGAGTGTACGGATATATATCTCTGTATTGCCCCTATAACGCCGGTCGACTCCAATGTATAAATGAGCTCAAACGTCCATCCAAGGGAGAGTTTGTTTCTTTCTTTTCTTTTCTTTTCTTTTTTTTTTGAAACATTTATAACCGTTTTGCTTCACGTTTGATCGTTACGGTTAGGTAACGAAGAAGCTTGAAATCGAATTAAAAAATTTTTAAGGTTCGTATTATTCGAGATAATTCGGGATAAGAATTAACGTTCGTTTTTTGTTAGTTTTGGGGAGATAATGGTATATTAATTTTTTTAGACCAAGTAATGAACATCGTTGTGAACGAAACAACGGCGTAATTTTACCGCCAACCTAGAACTCGAGAAAATACGTAATTCTAGTTGTAGTTCGATGGACTAATATTTCTAATGAGTGTTCTAAAAGATATAACAAAGGCGTCCTATTAATTGCGAAATTATCATACGCTAATATCGTTAGTTTTGCTTCAAGCTTCGAATTTAAGCAAATTGAGCTCGAATAGTTTCAAATCATGTTCCATCGATGTTGTTTAATATTTAATTAAATTATTTAATCTCGAGAAAAATTAAAACAATTTAAGATATGCAAGTCGTAGAACAAAATTGTTACAGTATCCACAAAATTTATCTTTTTAACGTCATGTCATTCAACGTGTAATTTCCTACGTGTTTCATTAAAACAGAATCTTATCTTCATTTAAAAATCTTGTCCTCTTGAAAAAATTTAACGTCTCCTAAAGTTAATTCCATTCCATCTTTTTTCTCATCTTATCTCGACTAATCCAGCCTATCCGTTACATTGCTGTTTGAATAGAAGAAAAAAAAAAAAAAAAAAAAAAATCACACGAATCCACATCCGTTGAACATCGGTCGAAATCTCGAGTGGGAAGCGTGATTGGGCACAGGGACAATCAGGGTGAAAGATGGCCGCGAGGATGATTCGGGGGCGTGACTGGCCCGATATCGTCGCGATCGATCATCTTTGTCCGTTTCCTCAACCAGTCGTTCTCCTCAAGTTTGTCTCAAGTTTGCTTGCCAGGCAGATATTGGGCGCGAATGTTTGTAGCGTTTCTTTGTTTCCGCAGACGTGACGATTGTTTGGCGGTGCGACCAAAGGGATGCAGGATGGGGATGGCCGCGTGGGGACGGTTATGAGGTCTTGGCAGATGAATTTTAGCGGTGGGGTTGCAAGTTTAATTGGAATGTGGAAGGAGCATTGTGGCCTGGTAAAGTGAATTTCAGGTGAGGATAGACGCTGATATTTGATAGTTTGGAGACGAATATTCGAAGTGAAAATGTAGGAATTTAGCGGATAAATTGTGATTCTCTAATTTTAAATATAAATCCCAACGTGATTTTCGTGCGAAAGCATCTATAGAATGAATTATATGTATTATTTTTCAGTAAGTTATTGATCAACAAGTTATTCGAGCTTGGACAGAAATGGACATTTTCTATTATTTTTTTCCTCTCTTCTATTTTTCTTTTTTTCTTTCTTTTTCTTTTTCTTTTTTTTTTTTTTTTCGTTTTTCGGCCTGATTTATTTCACGAGATGCACATTTACGAGGGAGGAAATAGATTCTAGGTTTAGAGGAGCTGACTGATGGCCTCGTTTTTACTTTAATTAATCGTCGACGTTAAGTAGCGTTGCAAAATAAAAGACGAATAAACGGCTCGTACGTCGACTGTAAAGCGCTATCGATTAGAAGAACGTTTTCCATTATCGATGCACGAATAATTATTATCGACGAAAAAGTAGGGACGAATTGTCTAAAAATATGTAATATCGTGTCTCCAGTACGCGAAGTATAGACGATATTTATCTATATTCTGCATCGTGAAATCTATTCGAAAAGGAAATACGAATGAACGTTATCAAAATATATGAAATTAATCAAGAATATAATTGTACAAATATAGTCAAGTTTTTTCATCGTACAAGAAAATTATGCTTAAGATCATGACAGATTCATAAAATATACGAGGAGTATAAAATCGGGAAGAAACAATCAGTATCTATTCAAATTATAACTAAAAAAACTCCTGTTAAATAAAAATCACTCTGGAAACTAGAGTAATAACCATTTATTAAACCATCATTTCACACATCATTCCAAATAAAAATCAATCGTGATTTGAATTACGATCGAGTTGGAGAGACGTAAGAACGACAGAGTTGGGGATAAATGGCTGACACGAGCAAATGACGATTGCCTGCAAAGAATAATTCAGACGCTTGGCAGAATTACGCCATATAAAATTGATACATTGTTCGCATATCGGGTGATACACTGCATTCCATTACAAAATATGTTATAAAATTTCTACTTGTGTAAAAAAACTTATCGTCTCTTTTACTCGAAAAGAAGAATTCTCTTCGAAATGAACGGGATTCGATGCGAAAAGGTTATCATAGAGGTTTAAAAAGAGTTTCGATACGCGTATATCTATTTTCGTGGAATTATCAGAGAAGAATTAAGAAGTCCTTGGAAGAGTGCGACAGAGGAAGAGAGAGCAGCCCGTCTTTTGAAACGAGCGCACCAAGCTCGAAGCGTTTGGCGGTCGTTCACGAGCAACATACTGGGCGTGTGGCGATAACGCCGTTGCTATGGATATATCACCTCTTTTTACGATAGCGTGAAAGGCATTTTTGAAATAAAATCCTCGGCGCTTTACTGCCGCTAAAGAGTGCATTGTGATTCTTACGTAGGAAAACTTCGTTTCACAGTTCTTTGAAACGGGATTTTTTTCTCGTTTATACGATGATAAATAGAAACGAGTACACGGTGAAGAGCCGCGAGCCTTTGGTCAAATCTCCGCTTCTTGAAATACTGGTGCACGTTTATAAAATTAATTAAAATGTACGTGTGTGTTGTAATAATTTTTTTTAAAAAATGTGTTGTTCGTTACATTTCCTAGCGATCAGTGAAATGCATCGAACGGTTATTTCGATCGATCGAAATTCGAAGAGTCGAGTATGTCTTCTTTTTTTTCAATTTTTTTCTTTCTTTTCTTTTTTTTTCTTTACGAAGCGATAAGATGAAAAACTGGAAAGCGGTAACACTCCAA